ATATCCATTGCCGCACTGTACACCTCGTGTGGGAACCATTAGAGAGATTCTCAGTCCTCCTTTGCAGTACGTACCACACTGCCGAGCATGCACCTGGAACTACTGAGACGCAACCTCCTGGGTCCAGCATCAAGCGAGAAGCATGAAGGGGTCCCTGTCCTGTGCCATCCCGTCCACTCATGTACATCACCATGTCATATGTACGTATGTACGTACGTTGCACGCACTCCCGTTGAGCTAGCAGCCTGCCATGGAGCCACTTTGGCCCTCTGTCTCTGTTTCCTGCCCCCGTTTCTCGAACTGTGTCTCTGGTAGAATGTTCGATTGACTCCATATCCCCCAGGCCAACCGAGGCCAGGCAAGGCCGGGGTCCATGTCTGGCGAGGGGATATCACTGATCAGACATGGCAGGCCTAGCAGCGAGCCCGGTCGTGCGCCTCGACGGGGGCCCTTGTAAAATCGGGGATATTCAAATCCCAAAAATGTTGTGCGCATTTCGCAGCTTCCCGCCCTGCATCGTAGCGAGCGAAACAGAGGCCGGCGCGGTCCCCCCCGTGAGGATCGCCAACTCACGTCACAGGGCGGCTGGCGCTCCTCGTGAGGGTTTCGCTGGCCTGTGAGCCTGTGACTCCTCCAGATGTCGAGGCTCCCAAAAAGCGGTGACGGCGTGCCAGCGGACCCCGAAACGGCCTAGCAGACTCCTGGGTGGAGCTCAGACCCCCGGCCGCTGGCGCCAGGGTGCTACGCAGAGGCGCTCAGAGGCGCCGCACTGGACCGCAGCGCTGGCACTGGCTCTGGAGTGCGCTGGAGCCCCAGGACCCTCGCAGTGGGCTGCAGTGGAGGTGCAGTGGAGGTGCAGTGGAAGTGCAGTGGGCGTACAGAGGTCCCTCCGGCCAATCAACGTCGACCCCACCGCGGGCGGAAAAGTTTGGGATATTTCTCTTCTCCTCCTCCACTTCGCCTTTGATTTCTCTCTCCTTCGGCATCACCAACTCACCCATCCCCCCAAGACAACGAAGTCGCACTTTTCCAGATCCCCTAGATCAGAGAACACCCCCTACCGAAACTTCGTCGAGTCACAATGCCTTCGGCCGCCGCTGAACTGTAAACGCCCACTGCGGGCCATGCCTTCCCCATGGTCCTGGCCCGCAGTCCAGCAGTTCTCCGAGTTACCACCATTCAATCCCAACCTCGACCCAGTTTCCCACAGGCTTTCCCGCTCCTGAGCTCCCCAGCTCAACCGAGAGTCTGTCTCTGAAATCAACGATCCTGCGACTGCCCGTAAATGCGACGGCTTTTTTATCTACACACAATCACCACCACCACAACCTGCTCCTCAGACGCCCGACCCTGTCGCCTGTTTGGCTTCCTTTTTAACCTCCTCCAAGCAAGACATCTCTAGAGTCCTCTTTACTCTCGCTTCTTGCCTCTGCTACTCTAGGATTTTGTCGATCCCGCTTTATCCTCTCCTTTTCCAGACTTGACCACCGGAAACGACCTAGAACGCCAACTCCAAAGGCTCCACATCCAACACCTCTAACCAGACACGACAACTACCTCCGGGAGTCAGAAAAACCGCTGCTTCCAGCTATTAACCCATCAGACGAGTTTCATCTTCATCCCCACACCAGAATCCACCATGTCTCGCAACGTTCGACGAAAGTTCTCCACGACCCCGGTCAAGGCCACCAAGCGGCGCCGCCGGGTTTCCGATACCTCGTCCTCCTCCTTCGACCTCTCGGACGAGGACGGTTATTCGGCCGTCGAGGAAATCAGCGACTCCTCCGATGATGACGAGGAGGATGTTGCTGCGGCCGAGGAGGAGAACATTCTCGGGGAGACGAATGTTCCAACCCCAACCGCTCCTCGGCCGCGCCTGATCTTCGAAGAGGATCCCGAGATTGCAGACGATGCTGATGATGATGACGATGACGACGATGACGATGATGACGGCCTCGATGCCGATGCCGATGAGGACGATACCGGCAGCTGGGCTGGCATCATGTCCGAAGTCGACGAGAGCAACGTCTCCGACTTCTTCCAGGATGCCAATGCCTTTGGCTCCGATACCCCTATCGAGCGCCACGTTCACTTCGACGTGCCCTCCAGTGACTCCGATTCCACTGATACAGAAGATGATCATGCCGACCTCTTCCCAGACATTTTTGTCTCCCAGAACGCTCTCGACCCTGCCTTCCGTCGGGAGATTGAGAACGACCCCAACGAGTCATCCGACTCTGGTTCTTTCTGGGACTACAGCTACAGCCATAACCAACCTGACTCGGATGCCGAGGAGGTTGTCCGCCAGCTGTCTGATGATGACACTCCAACTGCTACTCCAATGGCTTCCCAGCCTGCCACCGTCGCCTCGACTCCTGTGCCCGCTTTTGAAGAGCCACAAGAGCTGGATGGCTATGAGAGTGAGTCCTGCCATGCGGGACGCTTTATCTTCCCAGTGCTAACCTCCCTGTTTCAGCTGATGGCGATACCACCGAAGAAGACATACCTGAGCCTCCTGTCCGTAGAAAGACTCGTCGCCCTTCCCATCCCATGAGCGACACGTCCGATTCCGACACGGACAGCCCGGTCAAATCCCAGCGCGGCCAACCCCGTGTTGGTCGCTTCAACTTGGACCGATCCGACAGGAAGCCCATCGCTGTCCTGAATCCTCTCACCCGGAAGATGATGATCTTTACTCCCCACCGCCGCCGCCAGCTCGACCTGTCACCGGAGCAATTCCATTTCCCGTGGCCCATGGAGATGGAGGAGCAATCATCTCCCATCCTGAGCAACTCGGCCAACATGATGCTCAGCGCCATGTTCTCTTCCAACACCTTTGGCGACTTTATCAACACACAAGCCATGGGTCCTGCCGAGGCCTTCTTCCCCTTCCAATCCGAGGCCAACACTGCCGACGAAAGTTCCTCCGCCAGCCTACACGAAGACGAGGATGATGCGGAGAAGGGGCTGGATATTAATGATTTCATCATGTGGGACGACGGTCACTCTTCAGGTGACGAAGGCGAGGGTGAATGGAACCCGGCATCAACCCCTGCTCGTCCCAGCACAGCTGGAAGTGAGGTTGAAGTCTTGTCGCATCTCAACTCTGAGACAGTCGGCGCCTTCCGCCGCAACCAGATCAACCAACAACTCATCCTAAGCAACCAAGCCACACAGGATTCACTAGCATTCAGTGGACCATACAACTACACTGCTCTCAAGGGGCTCAAGTCGGACCGCTTCGACACTGCCGCAGTACCCCTGACCCCAATGCGACGGCACAAGAGGCACTTGAGCGACGCCGCACGAAGCCCCCTGGATTCGGTGTCCGCAAAGCGCAAGGCCTCCGGCGACGCCAACAGCAACCACAAGAGGCACCGAAGCATCTCAGACGTGAACTTCCTGCGCATATGATGCGACAGCGAAGCACGTATACCACACAATAACGTGTGAGGACGGCATAGCTTGCACGGCAGTGCTATCCCTGGCCTCGCCATCTAACGAGTTCACTCCTTTGACATTTCTTTCCTTATTTTATGGTTCTGTGAACCTCTCTCATAGCATGCGCAGCGTAGAATCCTCCAGTCAGGAGGAAAGGGGAAAAGGCCAACGGTGCCTTGGAAACCACCTCTCGGCGTTCTATCTTGGTTGGGATACCAAGACTCAAGGGATCAGTGATTACCCTGAGAGAATTCAGCGAGGTCCCAGCAAGGCTTCGAGAGCTTTGCCTGGGGTGAATAATGCAGCTAATACTGATTGATGGCGCACATGTGTTGATACAACGCTTTTTCCTAATGGTCACAACAAAAGTTCTCATGTTCTTTCTTGATGGATCTGTTGTCTGGTTGATGGTTTCGTGTACGAATCTAGACGAGGATAGATAAAATCTTTCATGATGTTCATTAACTGCTGGCCGTTCTGATGGTGAGTTGAGTTCATGTAGGCTACGTGAGAATCGGTGCCCATATGCTCCCGCCCTCCTCTCATTACCCATGAGTGTTCGCCAGATGCAGTTATGCCAGATCCCGAGAAAAAGGGTTAGAATACGGACTGACAGGTTGTATCTATATAATAAATGTAGAACAAGAATTAGGGCTAAATAATTTAGGATGGCGGCTAAATTGAACGAGACAAGGAGACTTGACATTTAGAAACTGCGCCTTTCTGCACAAACGTGCCACAACTCGTCTCGTGACTTTACATTTCTTCACCCGCTTCGGTTTTTTCTCACTTCCAAGCCCTTTGTTTCTCGGATAACACGTCTGTCCTTTCGGAAGTCTGCCCTCGGTGCAATGTTACACGGGTGCGACAGTCGACACAGAGCCGCGCCACTTATTGGGTTTACGTCCTACCCTGTCTGTACCATTCTGGTACCCAGCTCTTGTTGCGATCATTCCTCGTCTCTTTCAGTGGCAGCTTCGCGAAGATCATTGTGGTTAAAGTCTCCCGAGATCAAAACTGCAAGGTGTTGCAGAGGCTGCCTCCAGGAATGTCGACGTTGGCGATGCCTATTCTAGGCGAGCCAGGTTGTCTTTGATCCAGTTCTAGACCATCTAATCATCCTAGTTTCCCAACGAGCATTGCTATTCGCCACACAAGTCCATACTCCGATCTAAAGATGATCATCAACAATCCACCTAACACAACAGTTTAGGAAATAACGTTTTAAACCTTTGTCATTGTTGTTGATCCGCTAATCATTGCTCCTGTTGTGTTTATTAAGTTAGGTTTGATGGTAAAGGCAGGCTTTTAACGATGCATTCTGGGTACATTGGTCTGTGGTTTAACTAGAAGAACTTGTACCTGTGTCGGAACAGCAATACTACTCCCAATTGAGTAAGTTTGGTACATAGGAGCATACTTACACCCCTCCCATACCTTCCTCACCTGTCAATCTCAATCATCATCGTTTCAGCTACGTCCGAGATGTCCTCCAAGTCAACCCGGACCGCAGTTTGGACCAGACATACTGAACCAGGCTCTCTATTCTTTTATGTTGCGGCCTAGTGGCTCAATGGCAGGGCATTGCTTTCCGGTGGCAAAGGTTCTAGGTTCGAGCCCTAGCTGGGTCGATATATCTTCTTTTTTTGTCCTAGTCCGTTCCTCCCCTTATTCCTTTTTGGGGGATGAACTAGTTCAGGTACGTTGAGCACCTGTTAGGTTCACGGCTTTTTTATATCATCATGTGTCCCGTGCTGACTGTGAATCGGAGAGCAAGTGGTTGATCATGTGCGAAGACGGAGCCTGGCGGTGGTGGACCACCCTAGGGCCGATATTTTGACTAATTTGGAACAAGGAGAGTTCCTTGGCACTACCTTTCACTTGCTGGGGGCTCAATTTATTGGATGGATTAGTATTTATGGTTTCACAGAGTTGAGCTTTCTACCTAGGGTATGTCCTCAAGTGTCGTTGGTTTTGGATTGCCGGGTTGGAGCCGAGTGGGGCCGGTTCCGGACCTCCTCCGGGACCACGTCCGACTTCACTCTCTAACAAACACGGGCATCGTGTCCAGCGGACACTCCACCTCAACAGTAGTCCCGCCCTCATATTCTCCATCCCCTTTGAACACCTTCCACTTGCCACCCGAAGGGAGCACCGGAAAGTACACGCTCACTTTCCTCTCACCCGGCTCTAGAATAGGACAGCACAGGTACTTGTCCCCGTACATGTACTGCTGCTCAATGTCCCACGCCGCAGAATCGTCGGGGAACTCGTAGAACAGCGTCCGGATCACAGGTGACCCCTTCTCGTGCGCCTCCTTCATCAAGCCTCGGGTATACTCTCGCAATTCTTCGCGGATGGCCATGTACTTGCGACAGATGCCATACACTTCCTCTCCATACGACCACACCTCGTTGGGCGCTCCGCTGAGACACCCCGCGCCGCCAGTCGTACCATGCTGAGGCATCTGGGGCAGCCGATTACCATGCAAGCGCATCACAGGGCAGAACGCACCCCACTGGAACCAACGGACAAGCAGCTCGTGGAAGGCCGGATCGTTTACGTCGCCGCCGTGGAAGCCGCCAATGTCCGTCGTCCACCACGGGATGCCAGCGAGTCCCATGCTCAGGCCTGCTGCCAACTGGCTTCTGAAGCTTGACCACGAGGACGCCACGTCGCCGCTCCACACGAGGGCGCCGAATTTCTGGCTTCCGGCCCAGGCGCAGCGCAGCAGGTTGACGATGTTGGACTGCCCTTCACGGGTTTGGCCCTCGTAGAAGCCGCGGGCGTACTCGCGCGGGTAGATGTTTCCGACGGCGACGTTGGGACCAAGGTGATAGCGGTAATTTTCAAAGTCATAGACCCGATATTCCGGCTCTGCTTCGTCGAGCCAAAAGACTTTGATGCCCTTGGAGAAGTAGTTCTTCTTAACCTTGTCCCACACATACTCCCGGGACCCGGGGTGGGTCGTGTCGTAGTGGATAGTGTCGCCTTGGAAGTCGAGACCAGTGCGGACCCCACGGTCTGCCCGGATGAGAAATCCTCTTTCAAGCATCTCTTCATAGTTTTCAGAGAGTTTGTCGACTGTGGGCCAAATGGAGACCATGAGTTCGATGCCCAAACTCTTGAGCTCCTGGATCATGGCGTCTAAGTCACAAATTAGTCCTTGCGCAGGGTACGTTTCTCACACGGGACTCACCTGGATCCGGCCAATACGTAGGATCAAACCGCCAGTCGCCCTGCTTGGGCCAGTGGAAGAAGTCTACAACGATGAGATCAATGGGCAGCTCGCGCTTCTTGTACTCTCGTGCCACCTCGAGGAGCTCTTCTTGTGTCTGATAACGCAGCTTGCATTGCCAGAACCCGAGTCCAAACTCTGGCATCATGGGAACCTTGCCTGTTACGTCCGCGTAGGCCTGGACAATTTCTGCAGGCGCGTCTCCGGCCACGATCCAGTAATCGAGGGACTTGGTGGAGAGGGCCTCGAAACTCATGATGTTCTTGCCAAATACGGCGTTGCCAATGGCAGGATTGTTCCACAAGAAACCGTATCCGTGGGAGGATACGGCAAAGGGAACGCTGGCCTGGGAGTTTCGTTGGGCTAGTTCGAGTTGGGTTCCCTTCAAGTCGAGATACGGCTGCTGGTACTGGCCGAAGCCAAAGATCTTCTCCTTGGGATCCAGACTCTCAAACCGGGCCGTCAGGTGGTAGTCGCCACCTATGATGGGCTTGAACTCGCGAGCATCGATGTTGAGCGAACTGCATTTAGGGTCGGCCAAATCGTGCAAGTTGCGGGAGTACTCTTCAAGCAGCAATTTCCCCTCGGAGTTGAAGACTGTCAACTTGCCACCAGCGGTGACGACGGCCTTGATCTTGCCGTTGACGATAGATGCAGAGGTCTTTTCAATGGATATTTCTGGCTTAGTCGAAGACGGCTCTTCCAAAGCCCAGTTCTCGGTGGGCATGGAGCTCATCTTGGTAGCGCGGACGCGCAAGCCTTTTCCCCATGGCTCAACCCAGAGCTGTTCGGCATCGTAGGCATATACCAGGCGGTTTTCCTGTTCGAAAAGCATCATCAACTAGTTGTACTTGGTTGTAGCCCGAAGGTTTGCGGGGAAATGGTCGTTGAGAATGAGCTGACGAGGGCTCTTTAAGCATATAGGACCGGCTTCAAGGGCCGCATTTCCGTCCCCCGCGACCCCACTGGTGTAGCAGCTGATGGTCAATGGCCAGCTGCGGCCATGCTGAGGGGCTCTATACGACGAGCGCTACCAGTTGGAGCTCTATGATAGGGGGCTCCGGGGAAAATGTTGGGCCTATATCCAGCGGTTCCTGCACCCCGCCGGAAGTCTCTCCACCGGAGAGTTGCGAGGCGGACCATGATGGTTGGGCAAGATTAGGCTGGTACAGGTAAGGAGAAAAGAGAGCTTAAAATATCGGAGCTACGCCCGTATCGGAGACGCTAAAATAAAGTACGATATGAGGCTTAACGCCCTATCTTGGCTATCCGGTACCGGGCCGGGTGTGAGGACTCAGCTTGAGGTGTGGATGATGATTGATTGGTACGAGACCAGGGAGGAGAGAAGCCGGCCACGTGGGACAGGGCTGTCAAAAGATTGGCTGAGAAATTGGGTTCGGTAATGGTATCGCTATAGCAGGGCATTCTTGAGTCTACGATGTCTACTCTTACGCCATAATGTGAATTATGCGGCGGGTTCATTCTAGGCGATATCCTGTGCCACCACTTCCCCTCTTGGTTAAGTGGTCAGTATAACGCAAAATTAGTTAGCTACTGTTAAAAAGAAAATACTCAGTAAGAAATAGAGTAAGGTACTATAGCATATATTAATAAAAAGTCGACTTTAAATTAATGAAACCTGGGATAAGAATTGAATATATAAAAGCAACGCAGTAGATAATGTATATTAAAATCCCTCGTTATGGATCATGTAGCAATAGAGGATCTGGGCATATTGCGTCAGTGTTGATTCTGTAGGAGAGCTAGCCGTTAATTACAAACTCTAACACCGGCATACCTAGACTATGTTGTCATTATGCGTCGTGTGGATGGTTGACACCCGTCCCATTTCCATTCTCCTCACCCTCTCTTGTTGGTATTCTTGTTCTTCCAAGGCGTTTGCCGCTTCAATCCGTTTCTTCTCCTCCTTGAGCTCCTTGGCAATTTCCTCTGTGACAGGACACGAGTTAGTCTTGTTCGGAATCTTTTAGTTATCTTGCTGAAGGACAACATACCTCTTGGCTTTCTCCGCCGCATCAGCGGCAGAGATATCAGTCTCGCCTCTTGGGCGAAGCGTCTAGAGGAAAGCAACAAATCAAAAGGTGCCTGGTCTACAACCAAGAAACGGTCTTTGTTGGTTCGCGGTTCTCCGTGTCGGAACCATCTCAGCTCGACCTCGAATTGTGGAGTGAAAAGCGTACCGCCGATGCCCTCGACCTAACATTGATTTGCGACAGGGATTGGCGTCAGGTCATCCTTGTTCAAACCAGCATCTAGCAGATACTGCAAAGATGCGAGGTCGGCTTCAGACCCGGTGTCGAGTTTTACCCTTCCGGGATAGTATTGGACGTTGGCGGGCGCTTGGTTGAATCGTCGGCCGCCATGTTTGGTGGAGTTTTCGACCAAAACTGTAGCGTCTACAATGTAGTTCGATTTCACCAAGGCCATCACCTGCTCTGCAAGAGGTTGGCGTCGGTTTCGCAACAAGATCCCGTTTGTCTTGTTTGTCTCGGTCGCCTCGCTTGGTTTTTGGGCTGCGTTTAATGCTTCAAACTCGCTCTCGGAGTTGGATCGGCTCAGACCACCACCATGAGTTATGTCGTCGTCGTGATCAGTCCAACCGTTTTGGTCCCTTTCCGACATCCGCTTTCTGAGGGTTTCGAGCTCCGCCCGTGTAAGGTGACTTTCATGCTCCGTTAGGCTCATCAACTTGAAAATGGCTGCGCTGTAATTGCAATGGTTAGAAATACAATCAACTAGCTTTCCGTTTCCTTTTAGTCAACGTACCTTGCTTCAAGAAGCTGGCTCCCAGTCTTGATTCTGTAGAGGATCAGCCCATGCCATCAAGGGTGTCAACTATCAAGGCCTTACTCAGAGCACATGTCCCGTAAGAGGTACACACGTTCCCGAAATTGACTGACTTCGCCTGCCAAATCCTTTTCCCTTGAGTACGTGTATAACTTGAAGGCAGGAAGCCAGCCAGGGAAGTCTGCGGCGCCAACCCTTGGTGATACAAACTTGCGCATTTCGAGTAAGATGTGAACCTTCTCCCCAGCCTCGAAACATGATATAAGCGTTTGACGAATATGGACGGGGACTTGCGATAGACCGTCGAGCGTGTGCGTGCATTCATCCACGATATCTCGCAGGACAGCGACTTCACGCAGTAATGAATAATGGGCGGCAGGTGCCCGGGTGAGGTCGCGTTTCAAAGACAGGAGAGAAGTCGTGAGTGCGCCACTCGTTGATGCGAGTGCCAGGATGGAAGTCGTGACAACAAGGGTTGACTCCATCGTGATATGCTGCGACGTCAGGTCAGACAACGGTCACCGCCTACTTTTTGCAGAAAAGGATTTGATTTCCTTTACTTCAGGGAGCAGGCTCTCTCGACTT